GACGTGAACCTTGGCTTTGGCGCCAGTACAGCCCTGTGGAGCTGAATCCTCCTCCTGAGAGTTTATCCTCATGAGGGAGTCTTGTGTGCAGATGGAGTGGGGACTGAGGTTCCGGGGCATCAAATAATCCCAAGCCCGGCGCCTCGTCCGGAGGGCAGCACGTTGTCCTATCCATGGATAATGCCTGTGACAGAGGTGCCTGCTCAGGCAGTGGACCCACACCTGTGTGTTTCCTGCTCTTTTCCAGGTGGTTACGGACCATTTCCATCATCTTGTTCTTGAACAAACAGGATATGCTGGCAGAAAAAGTGTTGGCAGGGAAGTCAAAGATTGAAGACTATTTCCCAGAGTACGCAAATTACACTGTTCCTGAAGACGGTAAGATTCCAAAACAAATATCTTGCGATTAAGGGGAAGAATTGTTCAATAGCCCTGTAACTGGAATTCCTACGGTTCTGATGAATCTAGGAAACTCAGTTAATTTAGATCAATCTTCTTGACTCCTGCCCCACCCTTAGCTTCTAGAGTATTAAAATGTCCTTAGGGTCCCATTTGTGAAATTTTCAGAGTTCAGCTTGGTCCACGCTGAGCAGGAGGAGGAAGGGCAGCTTGACGTGAATGCGGGGTTTGCTGGGAAGCTCTGCCTCCCAGGGCCCCGTGTCGGTCGGTCCGCCTGGACCTGCCTGCTGACCCCGCACAGTGACTGACCGGGAAGTCGCTGCCTGAGTCACTCCGGCCAGGCCCGCAGGGACGGGGCAGCAGTGACCTCTGTCCCGAGCCGCCCGCTGCCGACCACCGTGTTGAGACCTCTGTCCCCAGCGATGACTTTGGCCACAGTATGGTGACTTCATCGGGTGACCAGCCATCCCGGGAGGCTGTGAGGCTCCTGGGACGTGGGAATTTCACTGCTGAAGCCGGGAAGGTTCCGTCTGGCAAACCTGGAGGAGTCGGGACCCATTTCCAGTGGCTGCTCTTGAGTTTTGAGTTTCCTGGGCCACCAGAGTCTCCAAGGAGGGATTTGCTTATGGAAAAAGAACCCCACTCCTCAAGGTTTAATCCCAAACTGGATAAAGCAGGATGAAGGGGGCTCTCCCAGAAACTTCAGTTAGAAGTTAAGAAACCTATCGCGGTCTTTGCACCAACCTCAGCCAGCCTGGCGGGGTGCTTCCTGGGCCCCGGTAGTAGCCACCGTCTGGGAGCACCCCAGCCCCCATGCCACCCACCCTGCAGCAGCCGGGCCTGCTCTGACCTTTCCTGGGAACCAGCCCCTCGCTCCCCTTACCCTGTCTGGTCAGCATTTTTCCTGGGAAAGTCTCAGGATGAGCTGGCAGCCCTCCCTGCAGGACGTTCACCAGGTGCAGGCGACTGGGGGCCGGCTCACCAGTCAGTCAGACGCTTCATCTGACTTGAGTACAAGCTGTTCACCCGGCACCAAACATAAACCACTGTTGAAGTCAAAGTGACCTGGGAGGAGGAGAGAGACGAAGGTCACGTTTCAGTCTTTGGCTGCATGGCCCGTGTGCTTCCGTGCTCTGTGTGCACAGCCTCCATCCAGCTCTATCTGTGTGTCATGTCACTTAAATAAAATTCCCTTTGATTTTCTACAGCGACACCAGATGCGGGAGAAGACCCCAAAGTCACAAGAGCTAAGTTCTTCATCCGGGATCTGTTCTTGGTGAGCATTTTCCTTGCCCTTTGCTGTCCTGCCACCTTAGGGTGACCCTGCTGTTTGCACTTAGTCTCTCACGAGCTTATTTAATCTCCCCCAAACAATGAGGGATGGGAAGGTGTCGTTCCCTCATCTTATAGCTGAGCACACGGAGGCTCAGAGAGGTCGGACTTCCGACCTCAGGTCACACAGCTTCCCAGCAGGAAGGGCAGGGTACAGGCCCCAGGGCGGCACTGAGATGACCGACCCCGCTTGCGTGTTGCCTTTCAGTGGGATGCGGGGTGTGGCCTCTCCTCAGCTCAAGGGTCACACGGAAATGGACCTGCTCAGGTTCAGACGTTCCCTTTTTGAAAAAACTCTGTATTTGGAGATGATTTCAAACTTACATAAAAAGTGAGATCTGGAGGGCTCAGCCCTGACACAGACGCCCCCACCCCCGGCTCTCGGTCCCCCGGAGCTGACGGGCTGCATCTCCGCAGCGCATCAGCACGGCCACGGGCGACGGCAAGCACTACTGCTACCCCCACTTCACGTGTGCCGTGGACACAGAGAATATCCGCCGCGTCTTCAACGACTGCAGGGACATCATCCAGCGGATGCACCTCAAGCAGTACGAGCTCCTGTGAGCCCCCCAACCCCGCCCCGCGTCCCAGGGCCACCTGGCACAGAGCAGCGAGTCCCCATCCATTGTGCGGGCTCTCGTGACCGCCGGGCCCCTGGCCACCTCTGCCCCCACCTCCCCGCCCCAGTCTGTGTGGGGGTGAGGGGGCCCCGACTCGTGGAGAACTTGGCAGATGGGGAGACAGACACACTGGCCCAAGCGTGATGGGGCATCGCCCTTCTGACCCCACGGGCCCACGACTCAGAGGAGCCCCCAAGCCGCAGTGGGGACAGAACCCCCTTCAGTCCTGTCTCCAGGGGCGGCTGGCCTCAGCCTCTGTGTCAGAGCCCCTCTGACCATCCACACATCAGCAGAACCCCCCGCACCTCGCTCTGGCCACATGTGTCCCATCCACAATGGTCCCCAGACTCACGCTGCTCAGGCAACGGCCTCCTTTCATAGGTTCTTTTTGTTGTTTTACTGCTGGTTTATTACACTGTACAGACCACGAAATGTAATATTATTTTGTATAACTACTCAAGGAAAATCCCTGTAGATCTCCGTGCCTTGACTATGGCTGTCCCTGTAAAAGAAACGTGTTTCTGTTGTGCTGAACAGCTGTCATCATACTGCCGCTTGCTCTGAGAAAGGGAGTGAATGGTGTATAGAGAGTTTAGGGTATTTTATCAGGTTGGTACTTTTTAACAATACTCCTTGATAAATATATATATATATATATATATATATATATATATATATTTATATA